TGCTTTGAGCAGACATAATATTAGTTATCACTGAAGCAGAAGGAGATATAAGCAAGTTAACCCTTTTTATTGTGAAAGCAGACACTGTCAATGATCATTATTTACAACATTTCAATGTAAATCAAATCTTAAAGTTGATGAACACATTTTCTTTATTTAGAAAATTTAACATCTGACCACATCTCTCTCTGAATTCATTGAATTGGAAAACTTTAATTTAGAAAAGTGTCTTATGAAGAAAACGGTACTCAATACTTTCCCCTTTTTCCTAATTTGCAGTTATAGAATCACACTGCCCTCTGGATAGGTAAGAATGGTTCCTCCAGGAATTTTTCACTGGCTGCATAGTTTAGTTGTGCGTCTGCCCCATCTGAGTAAGCTCTTCTTCCTCCCCTCCTACCCATCTAATAACCAATTTAAAACATACACAAAAGTAGAATAGTTAACTTATGTTGGGGGGAGGTTTAATAATATATGTACTAGGGCCCCATTTAGATCTGTTGGTTCAGACTTGGGTTAAAAACTTGGAAACTATTCAAGATAAATGGACCCATGCACCAGCTCACCAGCGGGTCTGATGTATAGGTGTTGTCTGGCCTTAGGTAAATGTCTCAAAACAAACATCATGAAATGATTTCTCTTGACCTGTAGTCATACCACTTCTTCATTCTAAATATGTTCTAACTTTCAGCATTTTCCTTAATTTTTGTGAACAAAAATTTCAGTAGATTAAGTGGTGCTTTATTTTTTATTTACTTTCAGGTTGGTTACTGTTTTAATATGAAATTAATGCTAAATGAGCTTTTTATACCAATGTCCAGCATTGTCAGAGCTTTTGCCTTAGGTACCTTTCCCCAACATGATCTTACTCATTCCTGCTAACTGCCTTGTGAGGTGGTTGATTTGATTTTCCTTTCATCATACACATGGAGATTCAGATCTAAGACATGGGAATTGTGCAGTTGGAGGAAATGCAGAATGTACTGACTCTAGAGTTTCTTAAGAGCACTTTTCCCTTACCTTTATCCCTAATAGTTTACTTTTCCTTTGGCTGCTTTGAATAGAACCAGAGTACAGATTACGTATTATGACTCAGGATGCTGCTTTACAAGGGCTATCGAATTGATAGACATGTGGGGCTGGTGCTGTGGCCCAGTGGCTTAAAGCTGCAGCCTGCAGCACCAGCATCCCTTATGGGTGCTGGTTTAAGACCTGGCTGCTCCACTTCCGGTCCAGCTCACTGCTATGGCCTGGGAAAACAATAGAAGGTGGCCCAAGTCCTTGGGCCCCTGTACCCACATGGGAAACCTGGAAGAAGCTCCTGGCTGCTGGTTTTGCATCAGCTCAGCTCTTGCTGTTGCAGTCGTTTGGGGGAGTGAATCAGCGGAATGGAAGACCTCTCTCTCTCTCTCTCTGTGGCTCTACTTCTCTCTGTAACTCTGTCTTTCAGATAAATAATTCTTAAAAATATTGATAGACATGGTACAATTTTAAAACTGCAATTAACCTATAGAGGATTCTGTGCCAAGAAGCTTTAAAAATTAAGGTGAGAAACTTTGTTTAGATGTGACAGAAGCAGTTGTTCTTTAGAATATACAGTCAATAGGATGCTTCAAAAAGTTCATGGAGAATTGAATTAAAGATAAATATTTTGGTGTAAAAATGGATACATGTGTATGAGAGATCTTCAGAAGGTTCATGGGAAATGCATACTATGAAAACAGCAGCATGGTTTTCAAAATTTTCTTACATTAAAATAAATGTGTTTTTAATTTTTTCTTTTAATTTTTATTCATATTATTTGAAAGAGAGCTCTCCATCTGATGGTTTACTTCCCAAATGCTCTTAACACACAAAGCTGGGCCAGGCCAAAGCCAGGAGCTGGGAACTTAATCTGGGTCTCCAATATGGGTGGCAAGGACCCAAGTACCTGCTCCCCAGGATGTGCAAAGCAAGAAGCTGAAATTGGAAGCAGAGCCAGGGCTTTAACCCAGGCACTCTGATATGAGATGCAGGCATCCCAGGCTGCATCTTAGTCGCCGTATCCAGAAGTCCCCCCCCCCCCCCCGCCCCCCATTGGTTTTTTACTTCTATTTTTCCACAACCTTTTTTTTTTTTTTTGGACAGGCAGAGTGGACAGTGAGAGAGACAGAGAGAAAGGTCTTCCTTTGCCGTTGGTTCACCCTCCAATGGCCGCCGCGGCTGGCGTACCGCGCCCATCCGAAGGCAGGAGCCAGGTGCTTTTCCTGGTCTCCCATGCGGGTACAGGGCCCAAGCACTCGGGCCATCCTCCACTGTACTCCCAGGCCACAGCAGAGAGCTGGACTGGAAGAGGGGCAACTGGGACAGAATCCAGTGCCCCTACCGGGACTAGAACCCGGGGTGCCGGCGCAGCAAGGCGGAGGATTAGCCTACTGAGCCGCGGTGCCGGCCTATTTTTCCACAATCTATCTGAAGCACCCTCGTTTGAATTTCAGATACTTTCTCAGATGCAGTTAACAGAAATGCCCAATTAGCTGTGGCTTATGTAGTAAAAACATTTATTTATTTTTAAAGATTTTATTTATTTATTTGAGAGGTAGAGTTACACACAGTGAGAGGGAGAGACAGAGACAAAGGTCTTCCATCCGCTAGTTCACACCCCAAGTGGCCGGAGCTGAGCCGATCTGAAGCCAGGAGCCAGGAACTTTTTCCGGGTCTCCCACATGAGTGCAGGGGCTCAAGGATTTGGGCCATCTTCTGCTATTCCAGGCCACAGCAGAGAGCTGGATTGGAAGAGGAGCAGCTGGGACTGGAACTGGCGCTCATATGTGATACAAGCACTGCAGGTGGAGGATTAACCTACTGTGCTACAGTGCCGGCCCCCAAACATTTGTTATCTTAACATGAGAGTTTGGGAGGAAGGTAATTCCAAAGTTAGCTAATTCAGTGCCCCAACTGTTGATGTTCTGGGTAATTTCCTCTCTGATTCTTTCTTCCATCATGGCCATAGATGGCTGCATTGAGACAAAACATCATATCTGTATGCAACAAAATTGAAAAGCAGGAAGAGCAGGTTCTTCAACAGTCAGTCTGTATCTCTTCTAGATAGCTAAGATGTTACTTATTTACTAACACATATCTAAAACACTATTTTCTTGTGTTTTTAGATGAATAGCCTTTGATTGCTTCTTCATATTACAAGGGTTTTCTCACATAATTTTTATTTAAGTTTTTAGCAGACACATAAAATCATACATCATGAGGGGCAACCGGGACTAGAACCGGGGGTGCCGGCGCTGCAAGGCAGAGGATTAGTCTAGTGAGCCGCGGCGCCGGCCTCAGGCCAGAACTTTATCCCACTGCACCACAGCGCTGGCCCCCTGAATGATTATCTTTTGCATTGCATATGCATCTGGTAGGGTGAATGCTATAGTAGTTGTAGTTTCAATTTTTTAAGGAACTGCCAACCTGTCTCCACCATAACTGTACTAATTTACATTCCCGCCAACAGTGTGTGCAAGGATTTCCTTTTCTCTGCATCCTCACCAGCACTTCTTACCTTTTATTTATTTATTTATTTTAAAGAGTTATTTGAAATGCAGAGATAGAAGGGGGAAAGAGAGCGAGCGAGTGAGCGAGAGATCTTCTATCCACTGGTTCATTCCCCAGATGGCCGTGACTGAGATGATCTAAACCAGGAGCCAGGAGCCGCCTCTGGGTCTTTTTTGTTGTTGGCAGGGCCCAAGCCATCCTCTGTTGCCCTCTCAGGAGCATTAACAGTGAGCTGGGTTGAAGTGGAGCAAATTGGTGAACACTTTACTTGGTATAGAGTTGGTCTTCTGTGTATAAAGTTAATTGAAAAATGGATCTTAGTGGAGAATGGGAGAGGGAGGAGGAGGAATAGGGGTGTAGCTGGAAAGAATCATTTTATTCCTAAAGTTGTACTTATGAAATGCATGAAATTTGCATTCCTTAAATAAAAAATTTCTTTTTAATTAAAAGAAAAAGAAAATGAAGTGGAGCAGCCCAGGCCTGAACTGGCACCCCAATGGGATGCTCTCACTGTACATGAAGGCTTTATCTTTTATACCACAGCATGGGCCCCTATCTTTTATCTTTTTTGATAAAGCTGGATCTAACTGGAGTGAGATGTTGTCTCATTGTAGTTTAGATTTGCATTTCCCTGATGGTTACTGATGTTAAGTATTTTTTCCTGTACCTGTTGACCATTTTCTGTATGTCTTCCATTAGTGATAAGTGATATCTGTTTAGATCTGCCCATTTTTCATGTTGGAGTGTTTGTTTTTGCTTTTAAATTGTGTGGGTGCCTTATATATTCTGGTTATTAATCCATTGGTTGTCACTTCACTCTGTTTGTTGTTTGCTGTGCAGAAGCTTTTTAGTTTGATAAAATCCCATTTTTGTTTCCTATGGTTTTGGAGTCTGATTGAAAAAGAAATCCTTGCTTATTCCAATGTCCAGTCTTTCTTGTATCTGGGTAGAAAAATTGTTCCCTGCATTTTACCCTTATGTTTCATGGAGTTAGTTATATACTCAGTCCTGGGTCAGTTACTCATGAGGGGAAATGAAATTCCCAAGATTGAGATCGCAGTGTTGGTTGGTTCCATAGAACTGGATGAGTGACCCCGTGTGATTTGTTGATTTCTTAGTATTAAGTAACTTTATTGGTTTGTTATCACAAGAGTAGAAGTCTGATAGACAGTCAGTAGCATATGCTAAACTATAGTGTTATAATCATGTTCTGACATTTTCCATATGCTACAATTAAGGTATTCCAATGCCGAAATTAAAATTTCAGTATTAGCCTTTATAAGAGAAGCAAATTATCCTCTCTGTGCCCGTTATTGATTGGCATAGGAGGCCAGTGATAGGCTTGTAATCTGTTGGCTGCTTACTGTACTTATTTTTGTTTCCCTCTGATATTAAGCCCCACAATATTACATGATTTTGGCAGTAGTTGCTCATTCTTTTAAATTAATTGGCACTTGTTCTTGTAGGTGGATTCTCCACAGTTTTCCTTGTGCGAACTCATGGTGGAATCCGATGTGCATTGAAGCGAATGTTTGTCAATAACGTGCCAGACCTCAACATTTGTAAAAGGGAAATTACAATAATGGTAAGTGAAGAGTAACTTTGTTTTTGAAATTTGGTGTGTGTGTATGTATATTGTAAAATATTTCACTTATTTGAGAGGCAGAGAGAGGGAGAGACACAGAGAGAAGTCTTCCATCACTGGTTCATCCCCAAATGGCCACAACGGTTGGAACTGAGCCTATCCAAAGCCAAAATCCATGAGCTTCTTCTGGGTTTCCAGTGTGGGTGCATGGGCCCAAGGACTTGGACCATCTTCTACTGCCTTCCCAGGCCATAGCAGAGAGGTGGGTCGGAAGAGGAGCAGCTGGAACTAGAACCAGCGCCCATATGGGTAGCCCGCACCGCAGGAAAAGGCTCAGCCCACTAAGGCACAGTGCCGGTCCCAGGTGTATGTTGTTTTGATTTTGTATTGTAACATTCACTAGCTTTTACTCCAGCGGCTAATCGGTTTATACACCTTTTAGAAAACCTTTGAAGAACATTAAATTGGAAAACTCTCTGGGGATTTGCAGTGCATTCCTTATAGTAGTAGTTAGGGCTAAATGCAGCCAGCCTTGTCCCCTCCTCTTCCCTTTCCTGGTGTAGGTTCAACAGGCAAGCAGCTGTACTTCTTGCTTTCTTTTCTTGAATCCATTTTAATTATAGAATATTTTGAAGATAGAAACATCCAGAGAATTATATAGTAAACACCAAGTTTATCTACCATCCAGCTTAAGAAATGAAAACCTTGCAGATACTATTTGAAGCCTTCTGTGTATTTCTCCCCAGCTGTGTCTGTGTGCTGTCTTCCTCTCTGTAAAGAACCACTGTCCTGAATTTGGTGTTCTCTGTTCCTATGCTTGTATTTTCCTTTTTTATTTAGGGAATTCATGTTTCACTGCTGTGGATGGCTTCTTCTTATTATTTTCACCTCTTCCATTATTTATCAAATGATTAGACACAAAGACACATATATGTGTACACACATATTTTAAGTTTTTGTTTATTGAAGTGAAATATACATAATGTAAAATTAGCCATTTATAAAAATTTATTCGAAAGGCAAAGTGACAGGGAGAGACAGAGAGAAAGGGAGAGAGATCTGTTTCCCACTTGCTGGCTTATTAAATAAATAGCTGCAGTAGCCAGGACTGATTCAGGCTGAAGCCAGAAGCCAGGACCTCCATCTTGGTCTCCTATGTGGGTGGCAGGGAAGTAGTTTGGAAACAGAGTAGCTTAGACTGGAACCTGCATTCTGATAAGGAATGCAGGCATCCCATGCAGCAGTTTAACCTTTCACATCACAATGCCTGCCCCAAAAATTAACTGTGTTGAAGTGGCCAATTCAGCAGCATGTAGTACATTCCCATTGCTGTGTAACTGCTACCTCTCTAATTTTTAATGTCACCCAGAAAAGAAACTCCTACCCATTTAGCAGCTGCTTCCCATTTCCCCTTCCTCCAGCTCCTGGCAACCATAAAACTGTGCTGTGGCTCTCTGGATTTATCCATTCTGGGTATTTCCAATAAATACCGTTGCCTAGTATGCTGTCATTTGTGTCTTTTTACCTAATATGTTTTTGAGATTATGTCCATGTTATAGCATATTTCAGTACTTCATTACTTCATAAGGCCAAGCAGTATTCCATTGTGTGAGAATGCTTCAAAATATTGATGGAGCAATTAAAAGATGTGCTTATGGGGCTGGTGCTGTGACCTAGCGGGTAAAGCTGCTGCCTGCAGTGCCAGCATCCCACATGGGCACCGGTTCGAGTCCCAGCACTCCACTTCCAGTCCAGCTCTCTGCTATGGCCTAGAAAAACAGTAGAACATGACCTAAGTGCTTGGGCCCCTGCACTCCCATGGGAGACCTAGAAGAAGCTCCAGGCTCCTTACTTTGGATCAGCCTGGCTCTGGCTCTTGATGCTATTTCGGGAGTGAACAAGAGGATGGAAGACCTCTTCCTCTGTCTGCCTCTGCCTCGATAACTCTGCCTTTCAAATAAATAAATAAATCTTAAAAAAAAAAAAAGGATTTGTTCATTTTGGTACAAAAAGTTTTGAAATCTAAGAATAGTTTTTTTTAATCATAATGTGCATTTCCATGAGCTTTTTGAAGACTCCTTATGTAAACATATATAAAATATTTTGCTTATTTAATTGAGAGGTAGAGTTATAGACAGAGAATGGGAGAGAGAAAAGCAGAACAAAACATAATTGTTAATTCATAAATAGAGCTTCATTCTTTTACTTTTTTAGATTAAGATAAATATAAGTAAAAATTCTTTTGTTCTTGAATTTCAAAGGACTGTCTTGTGCTCTCACTTTTTGAGTTACTTTTGAGGGAACTGTCTTCCTGGTTGAATTGAAAAAGAAATATTTATAAATATTTTCCTACTATAAATGGCAGTCACATATGATAAACTTTGAATTGAAATCATAGAAGCCTTTGGTTGATTGAAATATGTCAGATTCCATACTTGTGCCTACTGCTTACATTTAGTCTTTAAATATAGTAATTTAGATTTATTTAAATGAGTGTTTAATGTTATACTTCAAAATGTATATTTTCTACTTTTTAAAATTTTCTTTTTTACAGAAAGAGTTATCTGGTCACAAAAATATCGTGGGTTATTTGGACTGTGCTGTTAATTCAATTAGTGATAATGTATGGGAAGTGCTTATCTTAATGGAGTATTGTCGAGGTAAGTATCTTTCTGCATTTGTCATACACTAAAAATTTGCCTTAAAATGGGCTAGTTATCTTGAAGTCTCCCAGGATAGCTGTTATTTTGTCCTGAACACTTACTATTGCAATCTCGGCTTTAATTTTCTATTTAAGAATCCTATCAAAAAATTATTTAAAATCTAGTCATAGCTGCTGCAGTTATGAGCATGTAGTTGGAGAATTAGAAAATGCCGTTGGGCTTAAAACAGGAAATATAAGTAGATAAAGAGTTAGACTTCTTGATCATTATAGTTCTTTAGTAATGTAATCAAGAAGAGCAGAATGTGTCGATGCTAGTGTTGGGACATTTTTCCGTACTAAATTTAACAAAATTGAGAATGCATTTTGATCTATAATCTTTTTTTTTTTTTTTTTTTTTTTTTTTGACAGGCAGAGTTAGACAGAGAGAGAGAGACAGAGAGAAAGGTCTTCCTTTCATTGGTTCACCCCTCAGATGGCCGCCACAGCCCGCGTGCTGCGACTGGTGCACCGCGCTAATCCGAAGCCAGGAACCAGGTGCTTTCTCCTGGTCTCCCATGCGGGTGCAGGGCCCAATATAGCCTTCCTGGGCTATAGCAGAGAGCTGGACTGGAAGAGGAGCAAGTGGGACTAGAACCTGGGGTGCTGTCGCCTCAGGTGGAGGATTAGCCTAGTGAGCTGCGGCGCCGGCCATGGCCTATAGTCTTTAAAAATCCATATTATGTAGTTTTATTTATTTATTTTGGTAAATATCAAAAGAAGATAAAAAGTCAGTGTCTTTGGACCTAATATGAGATATTTATGTCTACATAAGGATTTATTTATTCAGTTGAAAGAGTTACAGAGAGAGAGAGAGAGAGAGAGTTAGTTGGTTAGTTCTTGCATCTGCTGGGTCACTTGCCAGGTGGCTGCAATGGCTGTGACTGGGCCAGGACAAAGCCAGGAGCCTCAAACTGCATCCAGGTCTCCCATATGGGTGCAGGGACCTAAGCACTAGGGCCATCTTCTGCTGGTTTCCCAGGTGCACTGAGGGAGCTGGGTTGAAAGTGGAGCAACTGGCATTCGAACTGGTGTCCATATGGGATGTTGGCATTGTGGACTGTGGCTTAACCCCCTGTGCCACAATGCTGGCCCTGATAGTGATATTTTTTCTTCCCACTTTCCTGAATTCTAGCGTTTATGATTCAGATTTTTAGGTGGGTTACAGTTCACCAGTAGACCTTTACTAGTTGTGCCTTTTTACAGATAATTAAGTCAAGTGTAGTCATATCTCTGGTTGAGTTTCATTCACTCAGAAGACTTTTTTTTTTTTTTTTTTTAAGATTTATTTATTTGAAAGGCAGAGTTAGAGGGAGAGAGAGAGACAGAGAGAGGCGTCTTCCATCCGATGGTTCACTCACCAAATGGCTGAGCAGATCGAAGCCAGGAGCCAGGAACTTCTGGTTCTCCCATGTGGGTGCAGGAGCCCAAGGACTTGGGCCATCTTCCACTGCTTTCCCAGGCCATAGCAGAGAGCTGGATCGGAAGTGGAGCAACTGGGACTTGAACCGGCGCCCCTGTGGGATGCCGGCACTGCAGTTGGTGGCTTTACCTACTGTGCCGCAGCGCTGGCCCCTCAGAAGGCATTTTAAAAGGGAAAATCTAACGAGCTGCAGGCTTTAGGGACAAATTTTATTTTAAAGTAGAATAGTCACTACTCTCATGCCCTATTCCTCTCCTACAAGGCACTTAAAATACTGAAGATATATCCTGTTTTTTCTTTTTTAAAGATGTTATTTATTTATTTGTGAGGTAAAGTTACAGAGAGGGAAAGACAGAGAGAGTGGTCTTCCAGCTGTTGGTTCACTCTCTAAGTAGCATCAGTGGCTGGAGCTGGGCCAGGAGCTTCACCCGGGTCCTTCACATGGGTGCAGGGGCCCAAGCACTTGGGCCATCTTCTACTGCTTTCCCAGGCCATAGCACAGAGCTGGAGCTGGATCAGAAGTGAAGCAGCTGGAACTCGAACTGGCACCCAAATGGGATGCTGGCACTGCAGGCGGAGGCTTTTACTCTCCATGCCACAGTGCTGGCCCCTAGAGATATTTCTTATCATACTGTCCTGAGGATCGATAATTTCATTGAAATCTTAGAGTGCAAAATAGAAGGAACTCAGAAAATCAGGGCAAGGATGTGATTCTGGGCATGTGAAGGCTCCTCAAAGCAGGCGTGCTAGTTCTGTGTCTGATTGAATGTTTGGATGCTGTCTCCAAGAGATAATATATTCACTTTTTAAAAAAAGATTTATATATTTATTTGAAAGTCACAGTTACACACAGAGAGAAGGAGAGGCAGAGAGAGAGAGAGAGAGAGAATCTTTGATCTGTTGGTTCACTCACCAAATGACCACAACGGCCGGAGCTGCTCTGATCTGAAGTCAGGAGCCAGGAGCTTCTTCCAGGTCTCCCTCGTGGGTGCAGGGGCCCAAGCATTTGGGCCATCTTCTACTGCTTTCCCAGGCCATATCAGAGAGCCGGATTGTAAGTGGAGCAGCTGTGAGTTGAACTGGCACTCATATGGGATGCTGGCACTGCAGGTGGCAGCTTTACCTGCTATGCCACAATGCCAGTCAATATATTCACTTTTAAATTCACTCACTGTTTTAATTGTTTTGTTTGCCACTTAGTGGTAATATGTAATAGTCTACAGTTATATTTCGCTATACTTTTGTTTTCTCCTGAAGTTAATTCCTTTTTTTTTCATTTACCTAATTTTCTTTTCTTTTTCTTTTTTTTTTTTAAGATTTATTTTATTTATTTGAAAGACAGAGTTACAGAGACAGGTAGAGAAAGAGAAAGAGAGGTCTTTCATCCACTGGTTCACTCCCCTATTGGCTGCAATGGCCAGAGCTGCGTCCATCCGAAGCCAGGAACCAGGAGCTTCTTCTGGGTCTCCCACACAAGTGCAGGGCCCAAGGACTTGGGCCATCTTCTGCTGTTTTCCCAAGCCATAGCAGAGAGGTGGATTGGAAGAGGAGCAGTTGGGACACGAACCAGCGCCCATATGGGAGGCCAGGGTGTTAAACTGCTGTGCCGTAGTGCCGGCCCCATTTACCTAATTTTCTTTGATATGTAGTGGTATTTTAGTCCCACAGTCCACATTAGAGATTTTTATGCAGGATGTTTAGACATGTCAGTATTTGTGTCGATTTTGTTTTTTCTTCTGTTGGAAACATTCCTTGGGACACTTTAGTCCTCCTGCTTAACTTTAAACAGCACTTTGTTGTCGTTCCAGGAACTCTTTGCCTTCCTTCTAGTGAGACTCTCTGATACTAATGCCTCCCCATTGTGTTTACGCCCTTGCTTGGAGGAGTTCATTTTTCAGTGGCTCTCTGATAGGGAATTTATTGGAGGAAACTTTCTGAAGCCTTGAATATATAAACATGTGTTTATTCTACACCCACATTGAAGTTTTAACTGAGTGGCTGGATTTTAGCATAGAGATAATTTTTGTTCTAGAACTTTGAAGGCATTGTTCCTTTCTTTCCCTAGCATTGCTATTGAGAAGTCTGATGTTGTGACTGTTTTCTATGTGACCTTTTTTCTCCATAGACACTTTCAGTTACAATTTTCCCTTTATCGCCAGCATATCAGAGTTTCAGGATTAAACATCCTTAGTAATGCTCATTTTGGTATCCTTTTTCCAGGACACGCATTTCTTAAGATTTACTTTATTTATTTGAAAGACACCGTTACAGAGAGAGAGGGACAGAGAGAGAGAGAGAGATCTTCCTTCTGCTGGTTCACTCTCGTAATGGCTGCAACGGCTGGGGCTACACCCGTTCCAAAGCCAGGAGCCAGGAGCTTCTTCCAGGTCTTCCATGTGGTTGCAGGGGCCCAAGGACTTGGGCCATTGCCTACTGCTTTCCTAGGCCATAGCAGAGAGCTGGATCAGATAAGGAGCAGCATGGATTAGAACTGGCGCCCATATAGAATGTTGGCGCTTCAGGCCAGGACTTTAACCCACTGCGCCGTAGCGCTGGCCCCTATTATTCTATTTTAGTTGGATTCATTCATTCTTTTTTTTTTTTTTTTTTTTCCGACAGGCAGAGTGGATAGTGAGAGAGAGACAGAGAGAAAGATCTTCCTTTTGCCGTTGGCTCACCCTCCAGTGGCCGCCACAGCTGGTGCACTGCGGCCAGCGCACCGCGCTGATCCGATGGCAGGAGCCAGGTGCTTCTCCTTGTCTCCCATGGGGTGCAGGGCCCAAGCACTTGGGCCATCCTCCACTGCCTTCCGGGCCACAGCAGAGAGCTGGCCTGGAAGAGGGGCAACCGGAAAAGAATCTGGTGCCCCGACCGGGACTAGAACCCGGTGTGCCGGTGCCGCTAGGTGGTGGAGGATTAGCCTAGTGAGCTGGGGCGCTGGCTGGATTCATTCTTTAACTCTTATCTTTCAGTTCTATAGAATTTTATATTTTTAAGTATCTTTTTAAGAAGATTTATTTATTTGACAGGCAGAGTTACAGAAAGGAGAGAGAGAGAAAGAGATAGTGTGCACATGAGCTATATTTTATCTGCTGGTTCCCTTCCCAGATGGCCACAATGGCTGTGGTTCGTCCAAGCTGAAGCCAGGAGCCTAAAACTTCTTCTGGGTCTTTCATGTGGTTGGTAAGAACTCAAGTACTTCAGCCATCTTTTGCTGCCTTTCCATTAGCATTAGAAGGAAGCTCTGTTAGAAGTGGAGCAATCAGGGTTCGCGCTGTGTTGTAGTGGGTAAAGTCACTGCCTGCAGTGCCGGCATCCCATATGGGTGCTGGTTCGAGACCTGGCTGCTCCACTTCTGATCCAGCTCTCTGCTATGGCCTGAGAAAGCAGTAGAAGATGGCCCAAGTGCTTGGGTTCTTGCACCTGCATGGGAGACCTGGAGGAAGCTCCTGACTTCTGGCTTCAGATCAGCCCAGCTCCGGCTGTTGCTGCCATTTGGGGGAGTGAGCCAGTGGATGGAAGACCTTTCTGTCTGATTCTCCCTCTCACTGCCTGTTACTCTACCTGTCAAATAAATAAATAAAATCTTAAAAAAATACACCTTGCCTTTTTTTTGGTTTTAGGCCCAAATCATCTGTTTGCAGATATTAATTTCAGTTACTAAAATATTTTTTCTTTCTCTTGTGTTTTTGTTTTATTTGAATTCTTTTCTATTGTTAGGCTCTTTTATGTTTGTAGTTTTCTGCACATGTTTCACTGGCTAAGGTTAGTCCATGAGTTACAGATGAAAATGTACCTTCCTGCGTGGGCAGTTCTGTCTTTAGAGAAAGAATCCGAGGACCTGAACAGAATATGCTCAGTCCTTTTGTCAGATAAATCATTTAGGTACACTCCTTTTTCTCCCACGGAGAAGCAATGTTTTGGAGGGGTTGAACATGGGAAGTAAATACTCTCTCCTTATATCCTCTATAAAAGTAATTGTATAACAGAAAATTATTGAACAATGAATGCACTTTTGCAAGAAAACCAGTGTAGTATTTAAATAGTTCAAGTGCATTGGTCTTGATTATGTAGAAATCAAGCTTTATAGAAAGTAAAAAAATGTGAAACCCCTACATGGTTTCAGATATTCAGTGTTTATAATCAGCTTTTATCAGTCTCTGCAAATTCATGGCTTGATAGTGCTTTCTTTGTGATTATTCTGATATACAGATTGAAGGGAGATGATATACTTAAGGTACCAGACTTCCAGATATTAATGTTAGTATTTTGAGAACATTTTCTGTTATTTTAGGTATAATTCATGAGTAAATTATGAAAATTTATGAATTTTTAATTTCTGTTCCTAAGAGGTGTTCTACTTAAGTTCCCATGAATTATGTATTTTAGCTTTTGTATATTTAGAAGAATCCCTGAACTCAGGAGTATCAGACAGTAGCTGTCTGTTGCTTGTGTGTGTCTGTGCACTGCTGCTCTCCTCTGAGCTGATGGGTGGTGCTGCTGGTTTTGGCGGGGCTGGGTCACGTGTCAGTGTCCTTAGCTGGGATTAGTTGGGATAGCCATCTTCACGCATTCCTCTTCTTCCTGACATGAAGAAGCTGTCTTGGGGCAGGTTTTTGCCATGGCAGTGGTGAAACTAAGAGGGCATGTGGGAGCACATGAGGCCCTTAAAGCCTCATTTTGGGACTGGAACACTGCCACTTCTGTCCTTTTTGTTGTTCAGAGAAAATCATGACCAAGCCCAAGTCAAAGAGCAGGAAACCTCTGCCCCATTTATTGGGAACATCTGCAAAGTTACCTGGTAAAGGCAATGGAACAGGGGAAGGTCGGCAATATGGGGCCAATGGTGCAAACAACTACAGATAAAATTGACTAATCCTGTAGTACAAGCAAGCCAAATTACCAAAATTTAAATGGAGCAGTAGGCTGTACTTAATGGTTTTTGAAGTGAAGTAGTACTCAGTGTGCTCAGGAATAAAGGTTGTTGAACAAAGTTAAAAGGTTCAAAAAATGTTGAGTTGTAAAGTTTTAGTAATGAAATTGGGCTTAGTGTACAAAGCTTTTGTTTAAGAAATGAGAAATATGCAAAGATTTGAGAGGAATATACATCTTACTTTAATTTTAAAGTATTTATTTATTTATATGAAAGAGTTATGGGGGTTAGGGGTGGGAGAATAGACAGACAGATCTTCCATCCAATGGTTCACTTCCCAGATGGCCGCAATGGCTAGTGCTGGGTCAGGCTGAAGCCAGGAACCAGGAGCCTCATTGGGGTCTCCCATGTGAGTTGCAGGAGCCCAGACACTAGGGCCATGTTCCGCTGCTTTTCCCAGGCCATTAGCAGGAAGCTGGATTAGAAGTTGGGCAGCCAGGATATGAACTGGTGCCCATATAGGATGCTGGTATTGTAGGCATTGGCTTTATCTGCTGTGGCCCTTATATCTTATTTTAAAAGGCCGTCAATATATTATGTTTGATTTCTGAGTCTCATTCTATACTTTTTTCATTATAGTAACCTTCTTTTAAACTTTATGTAATTTCCATAAAACTGATGTTGAATGAAATCTACATTTGAAATTCAACTCAAATACAGTTTTTAGTCTTCTGTTGGGACCTGATGTGTTGGTTCAAGATTTCAACTCTAGAGATCTCTGATAGATGAAAGGGGATCTGTTTAAAATTTGGTTGCTCAGTTTGTCATTTTGAAGTTTGGAAGAGGTAGAATGAGTTCCAGGTTTTGACTTCTTTAGTTGCAAAATTGTAGTTGAAGTATGTGAATGACAATCAAGAAAGCATTTTTCATCCATTTAGTTTTGATTTAACCAGATTTCTCTAGTTTAAGAAAATATAGGGAGTGGGCCAAATGACAGAATGGAGGAAGGCATTGTCCAGTCAGGTGCCTCAAGCTTTTGGGATGAGACAAATGAAACCTGAGTTTTCTGAAAGTGGAGATTCATAGGTAAAATGTAATATTCTTTCTGCCTTAAAATCCTAAGGGAAAAACAAGTATTTTGGAAAAGACAGAGATTGCTATTTAGGTAGTAATAATAAAAAAAAAAAAACAGTGTATCTGCACTGCATATGAATTTCAAAGTAGTAAGCATTTGTTTTATCCAGTTTTGTTAAAAGGAATGTTAAAATTTTTTAAAAGATTATTTATTTGAAAGTCAGTGTTACAGAGAGAAGGAGAGGCAGAGTGAGAGTGAGAGAGAGAGAGAGGGAATGAGGGAGAGAGGTCTTCCATCTACTGGTTCACTCCCCAATTGGCTGCAAGGGACGGAGCTGTGCCAATCTGAAACCAGGAGCCAGGAGCTTCTTCCTGGTCTCCCACTGCTGGTGCAGGGGCCCAAAGACTTGGGTCATCTTATACTGCTTTCCCAGGCCCTAGCAGAGAGCTGGATTGGAAGTGGAGCCCATATGGGATGCTGGTACTGCAGGTGGTGGCTTTACCCATTATGCCATAGTGCTGGCGCCAGAATGTTAAAAATTAATACAAGATTTATGCATTTTTAAATTATCAAGTTTTGTTCTTAATAGATAAATTTCTGTATGAGTCACATTTATTTGTGTTCTTATTGTATAATGGTGTTAAGTTTTTCTCATTGTTATTAGACTATAATTATTATATTATATAATAACCCTCTCAAGGCTGATTGATTTTAGCAGATTACTCTGGTCCATTCTCTCTTACGGGCATTATAGCACTAGCCTCTTAACTCACCTCTGCATTCCCAGCCTTGATGCCCCTGTCTCCCAGTCAAGATAAATCTTCAAGAGTCAGGTCAGGAAATTTCACTGACTCTCAAGATAGATGTATTGGAGATCCCCATCTGCCTTGTCAGTGTCATCTCCCCTTGACGTCCTCTCTGGTTCCTAGAGCATATTGGCTTTCAGGCTCTCCTCCATGCTGAAGTGTTTGCTGTGTATTCTTTTCTCATCTTTGCTAGCACACGCTTTGCCTGGTTCTCCACCTTGTGAATTCCTCATATGTTTCAGTCTCAACATAAATGTCACTTCCTTAGACAAGCCTGATCTGACACTCTTTTCCCCATCTTCCCTCACCAATTTAAATTCAGGTATCCTGTATTAAGTTCTTTCTTATTACTATTACTGTATATAATTATGATTGTGTATCTCTCTCTACTATTAGACTACAAGTTCCATGGTGATAGAAACCTTATTTTTGTTCACCACCATTTATCCAATAAATAGCTCACTGTTGGACAACTATTTTTATTTCTTTACATGTAATATTCTGTCAACTAACAGATATTCCTTGACTTCAGAGAAGTTAAAATGTTAAAAAGTGGCTGATTCAACTAACAAACCTTTATATTTCTTAAGATGTTCTGATCTTAGAGTTGTTAAAATGTGAAAAACTTCATGTTTTTGAATGAATATGCTATAAGCAGCACCCTTATATGAAAAATTGAAAAGCCAATTCCTATTACCTGAAGCCATAGAGAGATTTCTTAATTTCTTTGTTTGTGGTAGACTTCATTTATTAAAGATACATCTGCTCAAAATTACTCTTTTGATTAGCTGGGCAGGTAGTTAATCAGATGAATAAGAAGCTGCAGACGGGTTTTACGGAACCAGAAGTGTTACAGATATTCTGTGATACCTGTGAGGCTGTTGCAAGGCTGCATCAGTGTAAGACTCCGATAATTCATCGGGATCTAAAGGTAAGAACTTTACTTATGAATTGAGTGATACTTCGGACTTTAGAGTTAAAATATTCTTGGACTGTCTTCATCTAAACCCTTTTTTTAATCAGTATCCCCGAGATTAGTGTCTCTGTTCCCTCCTACATTTTCTGAAGTCCTGTGAAGGCTGCCTGTAGGTTTGCATTTGTGCTTTACCTGACCTGAGGCTTTCTGGCATGACTGTGGAGGTGGATTTTGTGCCTCCGACACTGTCATTGTTTTACTTAGCTGCCTAATATATGATACAGAATGTTTCATTTGAAGAAAAATGTGAACACGCCTCCACAGGATTCCCTCAGGTCAGCATTCCTCCTACCCCCTCGAGTCCATGTTAAGTATCAGTACTGGAAGAGGTGATGCTGGAAGAGACCGGCCGTGGCTCTCTGTTCTCATTTGTACTTGCTGTGGTTTTTGTACTTTGCTGGTATTTGATGGTGATGGTCACTTAATCTTACCTTCCTCTTGGTTCTAGTCTTCTTGTATTTGGTACCTTGTTGCACTGGAAAAAGTCTCCCAAGAGGACTGACTGTTTCTGGTATCACAGTGTGAGACCTGTCGTTTAGAACTAGAGGTGTCTTCATGAATGCCCACATACACTAACAGTACAAAAATCACTTCCTGAAATACTTTGTGCCAAGCTAGCCCAGGAGTACCCTTCTTTAAGTCTGCCAGATTTCGCCATCTCCGTGAGACCTATCTTAACTCTCCTTGTTGTTATTATAACCTAGCATTTCTAACCTCCACTTGCTCCGTGTTGTAATAGCACTTAACCACTTTCTAGGATGCCCCATGACTTACCTGGTAGTGATAGATGTCCTCTCCCACTAGAATGTCAGCTCCATGTGGGAGGAAACTTTGTTTTTGTCTCTTTTAGTGATGCATTAAGAACACTGCCTGTCATATAACACAATCTCTGTAAATATTTAATTAATGAGTGAAACCCATTTCTGATGAATATAGCATTTTATGAAAAGGAGTTATGAAATGCTGTTAAGATGAAAGAGAATAGTAGGTGTTTTTTAAAATATAGGATGTTAATCATGAAATCATCATCCAGGGAAGTGTGTGGGAGTAGGAGGTAAGGTCAAGGGTTGAGAGCAGACTTTTCTTCCTTCACTTGGATAACCAGTACAGCTTGTCTCAGTTCTGATTATGCAGTTTTTACATTTCCCCTAACATTTGGTATCTTTTTTTGTGCTGCTATATAGCTCATTAACTCTTTTCAATACAAAGTTGATAATTTCAGCTGAGTCGTCTTGGTTTAAAATTCTAAAAGGAAATTCAACTGCATAATTTTAAATAGTCTACTTCCAAGTGCTTCTTCTTTTTACATGTGTACCTTTGTGCAAACATGCATTTGGTTTAAGTACATTTCTTACATGAATCTTTATTTTGTACTAATTTTTTTCAAAGTACATAAATATGTGGAAGAAAACTATGAAGAAATTGTAATATGTCTATTTTGATAGAAGGCAAAGATGTGAGTTACTCATCTAGGACTGTATCATAAAAATGATAGATACTGTGAAAAAACGTGTAAAATAATAGAGTGTGTAGAGTGCTTACAGTATTCCAGGTACTCTTCTAAGGCACTTTACATACTTTAACTCATTTAATTTTCCCAACAGTTCCAGTGGTAGATACTGCTATCTTACTTGGTTTGTAGATAAGGAAACCACAGCAGTGATTAAGCATATTGCCCAAGGGCATACATATGCTAGTAAGTAGCAGATTGGACTGTGAACTCAGAGTCTACTACTAAGAAACTGTGTACCTAATTTATTTAGTTAATATAACCCTGATTTCCAAGTTAAGCAAAGTCTAATTTGTAAATGGTACTAGGAGTCAATCAGAGGAAGGATTTAAGTGATTTTCATTATTACTTGTCTGTAGATAATTTGAAGGATCAGGAAAAGAGAGAACTTGTGACTCAGTAAAAAGAATCTGGGCTCTGCCTGTTGCTGGTTCTTTTAATTAAAGCAGTTTTAGGGTTGCTTGGTCCTTGCACTAAACATTTGGAAGAAGCACTTCTCAGTTTTTATTAAAAGAAGTAGGCATAGTCAAGTGTGTTTTTCTCTGGTTTGTCTTTGAGGTATCTCATGTATGCACACACATACTGCACCACCACTTCCATGTTTATCAAAAGTGTTGTAAAAAGGATAATTTTCATTTCAAAAATGCTAATTATTGATTTTCTTTTCTTAAGGTAGAAAATATTTTGTTGAATGATGGCGGAAACTATGTGCTTTGTGACTTTGGCAGTGCCACTAATAAATTTCTTAATCCTCAAAAAGATGGAGTTAATGTAGTAGAAGAAGAAATTAAAAAGTAAGTGTTTATTTTATTTTCTTTCATGGGAATTTTAGTTAACATAAGTCTGTAACCAACTCTGCTAATACAAATTTTAGATACTGCATTAGAAATTTCTAAATTAATGCCATTGGGGCCGACGCCGTGGCACAGTAGGTTGATCCTCTGCTTGCGGCGCCGGCATCCCATTTGGGCCCCGGTTCTAGTCCCAGCTGTCCCTCTTCCAATCTGGCTCTCTGCTATGGCTTGGGAAAGCAGTAGAAAATGGCCCAAGTCCTTGGGCCCCTGCACCCGCATGGGAGACCAGGAAGAAGCACCTGGCTCCTGGCTTCGGATCAGCACAGCTCCAGCTGTTGCGGCCATCTGGGGAATGAGCCAGTGGAAGGAAGACCTTTCTCTCTGTCTCTGTCTCCTCACTGTCTGTAACTCTACCTCTCAAATAAATAAATAAAATCTTTAAAAAAAATAGCCATTGACATTGATTTACATTTCATCTAGCTCAATAGAAAATATATTTCACTATGGATGCTTTAAATTATACTGTAAAAATTTATGAAGAAATTTAATAAGTAAGCCATAATAGTGAGCATTAAAGGGAGTATTTCTTTTATAAAGATTTTATTTATTTTATTTGAGAGGTAGAGTTCCAGACAGTGGGAGAGAGAGAGAAAGAGAGGTCTTCCTTCTATTGGTTCACTCCCCAAAGGGTCGCAACTGCAGAAGCTGCGCCAATCTGAAGCCAGGAGCAAGGTGTCCTCCAGGTCTCCCACGTGGGTGCAGGGGCCCAAGTATCCAGGCAATCCTCCACCACTTTCCCAGGCCACAGCAGATAGCTGGACTGGAAGTGGAGCAGCCGGGACTAGAACTGGCGCCCATGTGGGATGCCTGTGCCGCAGGTGGAGGATTAACCCACTGCGGCATGGCGCTGGCCCCTAAAGGGAATTTTAAGTGATTATAAAGTTCAGTTAAAAACTTTGTTTCTGCTGAGGATTTATGCTTGTCATAAAATGATTACCTTATTTAATTTACTTCTTGTTTAATATTAAGAAAACTGACTAATGTATGCACTGAACAGTGTATGGAAAATAAAAGTGTTGAGTCTGTGTCAAGTCGTGGTTGCTTTGTGATGCTATGCTGAAAAGCTCTGGTGGGAATGCAGGTCACACCTGCCATTACGCTGGGCTTTCCATGGTTGCTGCAGCACCTGTGAGGTCCTTCTGACTTCTTAGGGTTTCTTTCTTTGTTTTTAAAGTTTCAGTTTTGAAAGATGAAACTATTCATAAATTTTAATTGTCTTAATAAAGTGGTACAGAATGCAGAAAGATCTGTCAGAATAGAACTTTCTAAGATGCTGCCTTTGCTAAGTTGCCTTGCATTGTTTCCTCACAGATTCTGTTTGAGACTGTATAGGAACTGTCATTGAACTGCAGTATTTTGAAATACTTCAAACAGAAATGGCATTACTCTGGCCCATTTGTATAAAACAGTGGATTTCTGTATTATTTTTTCTCAGAAATTTAGCCTATGATGATTGTTAGATTCCATAAAAATTAACACCTTGATTAATACATTAATGTCCTGAAGAATGCAAAACTAATAAACTATTGAATTGGTTTCTTGGGGATATAAGCATATAAATTTAATTTTAAAAATTAATTGGGTTCTGATTTCTAGTGGCTGCTGTGAGACTTCACTTAGGCATCTCTGACCTGCTAGGTGTTTTGTTTCTTGTTCTTGTAGTCTGAGGTATAGTTATGGTTCAGCTGAATTTTCTATTAATGATGAACTAAAGCTCACCAGGGGTCTTCTCATGCTTTTTAGCTCGCTTGAGAAGTTAATATTTTGCCATTCACAACGGGCAAGTATGTGTTCAGAACTGACAATGTTCTTGGTTCTAGGGTTTAGTAGTTAACAAAAGTCTTACCTTCATGCAGTCTGTATTCTAGTTTTTAGGTCATTCCTCCGTAGTTGTACCTTTCAGACTGTCTCGGGGTAATCTGGAAAAAGTAAGAGGGAAAGTGTTGAATTCTAAGACATTTCTTGTAAAATAAGATATAGAATAGAATACTCAAAGTAAGTCTTACATTATGTCATGATCAGGAACTCCATCTATACTTTGCTGTTTTCTGCCATGAGATTTTAGCACTACTTCATTAAAATGCTCTGGTCTTAAGAGATTTGGGGTCTTTGAATTGGTAAATGTTTATTTATATTATCTTCTAATTATAAATAGCTTTCCTTGGCAGTGACTATTCAAAATGTTCATAATGAATATAGTTAGAATTATGGTAACTAGATGCCTTTTTAAACAGCAGTTATACACATAGACTCAAAGATTTACTACTGTGTGCAAGGAATTATCTTAGTGTCCCTCCAGTCCAACTCCCTGGGGCAAGCATTGAACCTCGCAGTTAAAATGACCACATTCCAAGTCACAGTGCCTGGGTTCGTTGCCCACCTCTGGTTCTTGACTGCTAATGTAGACCCTGGGAGATGTTGGTGACGGCTCAGGTAATTGGGTTCCTGCCACATATGTGGGAGTCCTGAATTTAGTTCCTGGCTTCTGGCTTTCCCTTGGCCCAGTCCTGGCTTTTGGGGGCAATTGAGGAGTGAACCAGCAGATGGGAGCTCATGCTTGCTCTCTGTCTCTTTCTGCCTTTTGGAAAAAAAAGAAACTTCCTCAGTAAGCATATAAACTAAGCTTTTGAGAGGGTAGAAGACTTACCGTTAAATTGACAGAGTAAAATAGTAGAGTCAAATTGTATTATTTCATGGAAGAAATTCAAGGGAACCTATTTTCAATACATTGTTATTTAGAATAAATAAAATTAAGCTTTTATATCATTAAAGATATGCAATTTGTTGAGTAAAAATTATATAGTTATTGGATAGCTCAATTCTTGATGGACTTTTAATAATTTTTTTAATAATATTATTTCCATATAATGTTATAACCTAAAAACTTTTTTATGAAAGTGTTTATGCAGAAACAATGTATTATCTGTTGTTTTATATCTCTCTATATATCTCTCTTCTCTATTTCATTCATTTACCACCAGGTATACAACTCTGTCATACAGAGCCCCTGAAATGATCAACCTTTATGGAGGGAAACCCATCACTACCAAGGCTGATATCTGGGTAAGATCAAGGAAGACTGAAATTTGCTCTAAGTAAAAACATCTTAGTTCAGATGACAATTTCTCCCTTGCCCTTCCAAAGACATTTCCTAATAAGTAGAGCTTTTTTTTTTTTTTTTTTAAAGATTTATTTATTTATTTGAAAGTCAGAGTTACACAGAGAGGAGAGGCAGAGAGAGAGAGGTTTTCCATCTGATAGTTCACTCCCCAGTTGGCTGCAACGGCCGGAGCTGTGCCAATCCAAAGCCAGGAGCCAGGAGCTTCCTCTGGGTCTCTGACACGGGTGCAGGGGCCCAAGGACTTGGGCCATCTTCTACTGCTTTCCCAGGCCATAGCAGAGAGCTGGATCAGAAGTGGAACAGCCAGGTCTCGAACTGGCGCCCACATGGGATGCTGGTGCTTCAGGCCAGGGTGGTAACCCACTGCTCCACAGCACCAGCCAAAGTAGAGCTTCTTATCTGAGAGAGGAAAGATGCTAGAACATTTTATCTTCTCAGTACTGAGGTGGAAAGCCTGAGTATCAAAAAGCAAATAAAGAACTTTTCCCCACAGTATTTTTTAGGATTTAAATTACATATGAGTGTTAGCACTTTTTTTAATTGAAATTTTGATTGATCACTGTATAGAAAAGCTAGACTTAACTATTAAGTTACTTTTCTGGAGCATATAGGATCTTTTTAGTGGAAACGGGCATGAGCCAACATTTTTTTAATTACAGACATGCACTGACTAACCTGTCTATTGAGGTTCTTTATCATTTCATATATATATATATGGTATATCTGGATATTAGGTCTTGTTTCTATATAAAGTTTATATAAGACTGTCAAAGATTTATTTTATAAATAAAATATGTTTTTGGTTATATTTAATAAACTAGTAGGGAACTGTTAGTTTAATGATGTAGTAAGAAACTAATTTTTTTACTATTAAATTCAGTGATTTAAAATTAAATCCAGTAATTATTTTTCCATATCTACCACTCGGGAACATATCAGACATGGAGGAATGAGATATTTTTGGGAAACTGTTCCAGAGTTTACAAAAAAAGGCCAGATTTTTTTTGTTTTTAAAACATAATGTAAAAAAAGGCCAGATTTTTTTTGTTTTTAAAACATAATGTTTGGGGCCAGCATTGTAGCATAGTGGGTTAAGCCACAGCCTGCAGCACCCACATCCCTTATAGGTGCCAGTTCAAGTCTGTGCTGCTCCACTAACAATCCAGCTCCCTGCTAATGTGCCTGGGAAAGCAGCAGAGGATGGCCCAAAAGTTTGGGCCCCTGCATCCATGTAGGAGACACGGATGAAGCTCCTGGCTCCTGGCTTCAGCCTGGCCCCCTCCTGTCTGTTGTGGCCATTTGGGGATTGAACCAGCAGATGGAAGACCTTCCTCCCTCTCTCTCTCTAACTCTGTCTTTCAAATACATAAAATGAATCTTAAAAAAAAAAAAACCAAAAAACAAAAAACATAATGCTGAGAAGTAGTCAAGCATAGGTTGTGTGTGGAATGAATATTTGCTTGATTTTCCTCTCCTGACCTCCTCCTTCCTGGGGTCGGGGTGCCAAACACAATCTTGACAGGCAAATGATTCTTATAAGGTATCTTTGACACATTTCCATCTGTCTACATACCATGGACATTTTCATGAAACAGTGATTCTTGTGGTAGTTTAGTTTTTTTTTTTTTTTTTGACAGGCAGAGTGGACAGTGAGAGAGAGAGACAGAGAGAAAGGTCTTCCTTTTGCCGTTGGTTCACCCTCCAATGGCCGCTGCGGCCAGTGCGCTGCGGCCGGCGCACCGCGCTGATCCGATGGCAGGAGCCAGGAGCCAGGTGCTTTTCCTGGTCTCCCATGGGGTGCAGGGCCCAAGCACCTGGGCCATCCTCCACTGCACTCCCTGGCCACAGCAGAGAGCTGGCCTGGAAGAGGGGCAACCGGGACAGAATCCGGCGCCCTGACCGGGACTAGAACCCGGTGTGCCGGCGCCGCTAGGCGGAGGATTAGCCTAGTGAGCCGCGGCGCCGGCTGGGTAGTTTAGTTTTTATCCAGATACATGATCAAATCAGATCACAAGTTAAGTTTGCTTTAGTTAATTTGACGCTGCATATGTATATCAGCTTGTGTGACTTGAATTTGGTTTGCTTTCCTCATCATTAACCTTTGACTCATTATTGGCTTATAGTATAAATGAAAATTATATATACAGTGTAGAAAGCAGTTTGAATTAATGCTTACTTTATAAAATGAAAGTATTAGAAGAGGTGATTGTGGAGGTTGTTGGTGGCCTGATTTTGTGGCTGCTGTTGAATTCCAGTTTACTTGAGGAGAGCATTTCAGCGGCAGGTAAGCAACAGGCATGATAGCTCATTTGGATAAAAAGTTGTTCTCCAGGTACACACTTGTTACCCAGTGTCTTAACACAAAGAAGGGAATCGTTTGTGTGGGTAGTATGATTGTCAGTGAAATTTATACCATTTATAAATTAATATTTGAAGTAGTGTTTCTGTGATGGCTAGCTAGCTATAGCTGTGGGATTGCAAATAGACTTTCAGAGATAAAGACACACAATCAGAAAATAATAGCTATGTTTATATGCTTATGACAAAATTTTAATTTCTGTGATGCAGTTTTTATGCTTATTTTACTTAGCTGCTGTGAAAATGAAGTGTGCTACAAGATTGTAGATGTGAATTCAAGAATATCCAAAAAAATCCAAATATGTCAAGAATTACACTTTTAAACTTGTTTTAGGATAGTAGTGATGCAAAATTATGATATTCAGGCTTAAGTCCTCAATTAGCACTTCATATTTTGGCAGAAATTTTTTGTGTGGGGATTTCCATTCTAGGTTATTTTTATTCTGATCCTAAGAGGCTGATTTTGTGCAGCTTTATACAATTCAGTAAGAGGTACTTCATGTTTCCTTTTAATGAAGGGAATTGAAGATGGTGATCCATTCAGCCTTCAAAATCAGGTCACTTGTTCCCTCTTGTTTCTTGTACAATTCTCCCTGAATTAAATGGATAAAGACAAAAATGCCTTTGGTATGAAAAATTAGCACACTTCATTGTGTTCACACTGTGCCAAGGAGAGCATTTAGGTTTGCATTTTTTAAGTACACTGGTGTTGCTCAGATTGTTAGCTGGGAACCCCTACAACATTTACTCTATCAGATTACAAATTACTGAAGATTTGATTCACTGGATAATATTGGATAAAATGCAGATCTGTTATCTAGACTCATCTGGGCAGTGGAAAGAAAGATATAATTTAAGGAAGGTGTTAGACAGTTAATAGATTTTTTTTAGCACTTTTAAGGAAGCCTTATGTTCAGTTTGCTGTATATGTACTAAAAATGTCTTCCTGTCTTCCTTATAGAATAAAGCATAACAGGTTTTTAAACATATTGAACTGAGTATTGCTTTTCAGAATCTTTTTAATCTCGTTAGTCATATATTCAGTAATATTTTTGAGTGAATACATTGAAATTTCCATAGTTTAGACACTTTTTTAATTAGAAGGCTGCTACAATATTAAGAATAATGTTTTATAAATTAATGTTGTTGAACTTAGAAGGGAGTTTTGTGTATATTACAATCTTCCTAGTAACGAAAATTTATATACTTGTTTATTAGCTATTCTAGCTAAATTGATATGTTGAGAAAACCCAACAAAGAAAAGCTGATTTGTTCATATTTAAATCTTAAGATCAAATTTCAATTTTCCTGATACAATTGTATATTAACTGTTGGGTGATTTTTCCAGTTAGAATCGGGTAAGTTCCATACACACGTATGGCTTGTAGGTGACAGTTCTTGTGATGAAGTAATGATTAGTAATGATTTCTTGAGCCAAAAATTCTGCATCCCTCCCTCCCTCCCTCCCTCCCTCCCTCCCTCCCTCCCTCCCTCCCTTTTTCTTTCTTTCTTTCTCCCCTCCCCTCCCCTCCCCTCCCCTCCCCTCTCCTCTCCTCTCCCTGCTGTTCAGGTTTGACCTTTTTGCAGTTTAGCTAGAAATTTCCTATGCTACTTTTCTAGGCACAGTTTGTGCTTCAGGGTCTTTTGCTTTTGTTCTCAGCAAGTAGATTTGTTGTTGTTGGAATGTTTATGAAACTGTTAAGTTAGGCCGATAGAAACCTTCTTTTGAATTTTAATATAGATTACTTAGGTTACAAATATAATTTGTGTAATATATGCATTAGAACTATAAGGTTGTATACATAAAGGACTGATTTTTATAGTAGAAATAGCATGTTTTTAGTAAATAATTGATAACCATTTATTGATAGTTATCTAAGTTTAACTGTGCTGGCTAATTCATACTTGGAAGCCCAGGATTTTTAAACATGTTTTATAGTGAACTTTTAAAAAGGCTATTAGAAGGAGTCATGCGTTTACTTTGTTAGTTATAGGCTAAGTACTAAATTTATTTTTTCTTTATGGAAGAAATTTAAAAATACATATTTTTTCCCAAAGGGACCATCCACTTTTAATTTTAATGATATCATTCATGATCAAAGTGCTATGATACCATTAATTCAGACAACTGACTAAGATATGACAGAAAAACATGGAAATGATATAGTTTAAAATTTTTTTTTAAATTGACGATACTGATGTGTTTAAGCCAGGAGTGTGGAACCTCTGGCCCACCAGCCATAAAAAGCCAGTGAATCATATGGTATGGCACTACCAAGGCAACCATAAGTGGGTGTTGAAATTAAGTAAATCTATTATAGCAGGCTAATTTTTAAGTTGATAATTTTGTATGGCCTTCAGATGATATTATAAATACCTAAGTAGTCCTTAGCAGAAAAGGTTCTCAGCCTTGGTTTAAGCAATTGTTTGTAAAAAGATTGATCCAGTATAGAAACATTAGAGATTTGTTTTTCTTTAACATACTTAGTTTTGGTTTGGTTCTGTGTTTATATCTTGGGGTTAAGTTATTTACTTGGGCTTTGGTAATATTCATGTTTCTTTGTCCTACAGGCCCTGGGATGTTTACTCTATAAACTCTGTTTCTTCACTCTTCCTTTTGGTGAGAGTCAGGTTGCCATCTGTGATGGCAGCTTCACCATCCCAGACAATTCTCGCTACTCTCATCACATACATTGCCTAATAAGTAAGTACCTGGAAAAACTATGAAAAAATTTGTAAGATATTTATATCCCTTTACTGAAACCTATTCTTTTAATTTCATGTGTTATAATTTTTGAAACTTAAGAAGCATTAAAGAAGGTGTTTAAGACTTACAGGAGTGAAAGCTGCCTAATTACTGAATAATATCATTGTATTTTTAAGTCCTCAGATAAGATTTAGTACACACAGTAGAGATAATATAATTAAGGAGCCAGAATTTCTGGGAACACTTACAGCACACCATTTCATTGTTTGGTCTTTGTACTTTTGAAATCAGATATCTAGATCTTTAGTTATTTGGATATAAAAGTTTTGCTAATCTTATATTGTAGCTTATCGTCCTACCCTTTTAAATGTCTATATCCTATTGATTGTGTAGTGATTAATATAAAGCAACCACAGTGTAAGCTCAGAAGGGGTAGGCTGGCAGGCCCTCCAATTCCTAAAAAATTTCTGTTTTCCTTCCAACCTCCATTAAGGTTTTTTTTTTTTGGGCCCACTTAGATAAATCCTATAACTTAATGCTTTATATTTGTACATGGTAAAATATCTGGAAAATGTTTTGAGAGGAGGAGAGAACCATTAAATACTAAAATATATTAGAAAGGTGCAGTATTTAACCAGTGCCTCCCAGCACTGTTTAAAGTATCTCTAGTATTTTCACTTTGTTCTCTGCATTTTAAGTACCTTCTGTTGTAGCCTACAGCTAAATGGAATAGAAGGTCAATTTAAATACATTTGATGTTTAAATGATTAAGGTGGCATTTCAACTCTGAAGAAAAATAAATGGAAACAAAAATTTTTTAGCCGTTTTTGAACAGAAAATATGTCTGGATTGTGTTTCATTGCTTGTGCTAAATTTCAGGTAAATTAAATACTTAAATATAAAAGATAAAACACAATGTGCTTGAAGAAAATCAATGTGAATTTTTTATAGGACTCTAGGAACTACTATAGAAGAAAAGATTAATCAATTGACATGTGTCTTTAACCCACCAGAAGTTCCCTCACACTCTTCAGTCAATACTAAATAATAAGTGAAAATAATACTCGTTATGCATTTGATAGGTGGCTAATCTTTGTAATTATGAAGCTTGTATAAATGATAAAAGGATAAGCACTCCAAGTAAAAGGTAAAAAAGTTGGCCAAAAGAAAATCAGGAGCACTAAATCTAGTCTCACTTTGCAAACTTATTCAATGCACAATCATTTATTTCTGTGATGTCAGTTTATTCATAGTGAATTGGAAATTGGATAATTATGTCAGTTTAACTCCAAATTTACTATGGTTCATGTGGAATGTTTTTCTTAAGAATAATGGAGTGGGTTAGGTAGTGGTGTATAACTTGCAGAGCAAAGGAAATAGCCTAAACTTGGCTGCTGCACTGTCAGCATAAACACTTTTAGCTCTGTTTTGGCAATATGAATTGTCTGTTCCTGGGGTTTTCTCCCCAAAGAACTACCTCTCAGCATGGAAATGGCTGCCTGCTTAGTAGCCTGGGGGCTCCACTTTTATCTTCTTGGGTGGAGAATCTATCAACCTTGTTTTGATGTGCTTTTATATACTTGTGGCACCCTGCCACCAAGTTAAGTTGCCTGCCTAGCAGTCCAAGTTACCTTCCCTGGCCCAAGTTTAAAGATTTATTTCATCCTTTGGTGATAAAGTTGTATAGTTTTTATTTTGTTTTTGCTTTAAAAAAATATTTGAGAGCAGAGAGAGAGAGAGAGAGACAGACAGACAGGTAGGTGGAGATAGAGGACTCCCACTCCCTAGTTCCATCTTGAAATGCTTGTGCCTGTGCCTGTGCCTGTGCCTGCCCATGGGCTGGGGCAAGCCGAACCTAGTACAAAGCCGGGAATTCTCAGGACTCAGTTTGGGTCTCACTTGTGAATGGCAGGGACTCAACTACTTGAGTCATCAACTAATGCCTTCTAGGATGAATATTGTCAGGAAGTTGGAATCTAGAATGGTCCTGGGACTCAAACCTAGGCATTCTGATGGGGTGTTTTGGTATTCCAAGGGGTGGAGTCTTAACCCTTAGGCCAAATGCCCACGTGCCCAACAAAGTTGTAATTTGTAAATTGTGCACTTCAGCATTGTTATTTTCCCTCTGATGCCTGCTTTTTTTAGCATTCCGTTTTCAGACTAGTTTTTTTTGAAAGGGAAAACATTGATTGTATGCTTGAGTAAACATTAGACCTTTAATCCCATCTTTCAACTAAATTAGTTGCTTTCTCTCCAGAATTTAGGGCAGTAAAAATATGAAAGGATTCTGATTACTTGAAATGCTTATGATTGAGGAATTGCCTGTTGTATGTTCTGGCTAACTGAAGCTTAAACTTTTATTGCAGTCCTTTTTATAAATCATGGTAGCTATGATACTACTTTGTTCTAAGTACAATATTTTAATCATAATTGAACTTATGATAACCATAAGATAAAGCATAAAAAGATATATCTTTTTTAGTATTAATGATAATATTGTTAGTATTAATTTTATACCATCCACAATTTTTGAAAGTGGTCATCACAGGTCTTATTAATAACTGTATGCTTGATAATTACCTAATTTTGAATGTATTTTTGATTATCACTAAGGTAGGTAAAGGGGCTATTATTATGTATTAATCTTGCTTTCTTGTAGGATTTTTTTTCTTAAAAGCAACAGAATTAAATGTCTCAATTTTCTTTGTAGCTTCTGTTAACTTTACCAGTAGACAAGTAATGGGAGTGGTATGTGGGATGAGGAGAAAAGCGCTTTACTTTTTGAGTCCACGAGTTGAAAAGAATTTAGAGAACTTTTAGAAGTGAGTGAGAAGTATAACTCACAGGATTACTGAACAGTTACGAAGAGTGAACAGAAGGCTGGTTGCCTCACTTTCTTTTACCTCTTGTATTATAAGGTGGTTGAGGAATTACACTGTAGAGATTATGAGCAAGGCCTCTACTGCTAAACAGCCTGAGTTTGCATCTATTCTTTTACTTACTTAGTATAGAACATTGGGCACCTCTGTTTATCTCAGTGTCCCTACTTCTAGAGTGAATATATTAATCTTAGTGTTATTGTGAGACTTCAGTGAATTATGCAAAGTGCTTCTTAGTGTGTTGAAGTGCTTAGTGAGAGATGACCCTTAGTACTGCTGTCATTACTACCACTACAGCTGCTGCTGATAACATCATATAATTCTTCCTGAGCAGACTTGATGTCTGGCTTCTTGAGTAAGGGACAGGAACAGTACCGGTCCCACAGAATATGCTCTTTTTTTCTTTTTTAAAGATTTATTTATGTATTTGAAAGTCAGAATTACACAGAGAGAGAAGGAGAGGCAGAGAGAGAAAGAGAGGTCTTCCATCTGCTGGTTCACTGCCCAACTGGCTGCAGGGGGCGGAGCTGTGCCGATCTGAAGCCAGGAGCCAGGAGCTTCTTCCAGGTCTCTGATGTGGGTGCAGAGCCCCAAGGACTTGGGCCATCTTCCACTGCTTTCCCAGGCCCTAGCAGAGAGCTGGATTGGAAGTGGAGCAGCTGAGACTAGAGCCAGTGCCCAAATGGGATGCCGGCACTACAGGTGGCAGCTTTACCTGCGACGCCATAATGCTGGTCCCCAGAATATACTTTAATGATTGTCTGACTACTAAGATTATTTTTCTTACCCTTCCTCCCCCCACTTTGGATCGGTTTACTCACTATTACTTTATTTATTATCTTAGCACTTAATATCTTACCTATTGAGATTAAAATTTTTTTTTTTTTTTTTTTGGACAGGCAGAGTGGACAGTGAGAGAGAGAAAGAGACAGAGAGAAAGGTCTTCCTTTTCTGTTGGTTCATCCCCCAGTGGCCACTGCGGCCGACGTGCTGCGGCCAGCGCATCGGGCTGATCTGAAGCCAGGAACCAGGTTCTGCTCCTGGTCTCCCACGTGGGCGCAGGGCCCAAGGACTTGGGCCATCCTCCACTGCACTCCCGGGCCATAGCAGAGAGCTGGACAGGAAGAGGAGCAACCAGGACAGAATCTGGCACCCTGACCGGGACTAGAACCCCGTGTGCTGGTGCCACAGGCATAGGATTAGCCTATTGAGCCGCGGTGCCAGCTGAGATTAAAATTTTAATACCTATTTTGTGGGAAACTAAGTATTTGCTTTCTTGGTTTAATATACTTAAAATGATATGGAAATTTAAAAATGTTTAGTAATATAAAAATAAAATAGTGCAATATATTTTCATGTGCCTGTCAGCCAGCTCCAGTGATTGTCACTTCATGGCCAATCTTTCATCTATATCTCATCCACTGAAGATCCAATAACATATATTTGAAAAGAAACTCAAAATGAGGGTGGAATTTCCTTGGAGGTTTTCAGTCATTGGCTCTGGGTTATCAGTTGGAGAGATGAGAGACAGGGATCTGAACTATAATTTCTAACGATGTTTACCAGGACCTTGTAAAACATGTATATATTTTTAAATTTGAGAGGGATGGGAGAGAGTGAGCAAGTGAGCTGTTATCCATTGATTCACTCTGCAAATGCCTATAACATTTGGGGCTGGGTCAGGCTGAAGTTGGGGGCAGGAACTGTATCCAGGTCTCCGGCATGGATGCCAGGGACCGACTACTTGAGTCATCACCTGCTATCTCCCAGAATCTCTGTGAGCAGGAAGTTAGATTCAGGAGCAGAGCCAGGACTCAAACCCAGCCACTGCGATGTGGGATGCAGGCATACCAACCAGCGTTTTAACTGGTGGCCAAATGCTCACCCTTATCATGGCATATTTATAATGCCACTTAGTGTTTTAGTTATGATTGGACATAATGTTAGCTGTTATATTTGGTTTTATTTCAACTCCATAGAGTAAGATATGTGGGGCATATGTGTCTAATATGTCAGCTTCTATAATGATCTCTGGTAGCTTAACAGAATAACAAATTAATGCTTGAATATTTATGGTTGGAAAATTAGGGTGATGTTTCTTTTTTCAAGTAAATTATT